GCATACAACTGTATTGTATACGTATGTATTCACTCTGGTACCCTGTGTAGGTTATGGGACCCCACCCAGGCAGCCGATGAGGTCATATGAAACACTGCCTTTACCTCCCCCTCTCCTCTGATTGGTCACTGTGTACAGTCTCAGTTCAACCAGAGTATCACTTTGTATATTTCCATAATATTCTGACATAACGTTAACATTAAAATGTAAAAGTATAAATTCACAGGTTTCTATTCCACTACGGACGGAGCGTCAAAACAACTATCCTGTCTATCAGCCTATTTCTTCCAAATGAATTTAGTTTGTTCTATAATCAGTGCAGTTCAGTTCTCATGCTCTCCTATCTAAGGACCCTGGACCCTTTAACCACATAAAATATCCATCTACAAACAGTCAACTGCAAAGAGGCAACCTGTCTGACAGATTCAGAACGAACTGATGATTGCAGATGTTTCACCACTCAATTTGCGCTGCAGCGTTTAAGCCGGTGATCACAGCTCAACCTCTGGGTGCAGTGTGCTGCGGTAGCTGTCACTTTGTGTGTATCCGTCGTATCACGGTCTCCATGCTGAGGCTCTAACACTGTCTGCAAGGTCTGCGAAGCTGTTAATCACCTCCTCTCTAATGTGTTGTTCACACTTTCCCCCTCTCCGACTTGCTGGAGTTCTATCTTAGACAGGGCGCTTGGCTGGGCGATCGCTGTCGCTAATTTGTTGTGGCAATATTAATTAATGATCAGCCTGTCACAGCTGTTTATATTGAGACAGATTAGAAGTGGGAGAGATTAGACAAAGAAAACAATCTGCGAGAGGCTCAGCCGCTGACAGGGGTCACCTTCACAAGTCTGAAATCATATTCAATTTGCCAAGGCGGAGGCGGGGAAAATTACTCCACTTGACCAGTCTGTCTCCTTCTCCATCTGTGTTGGTTGACGTTTGGAGATATCTACATCAAATCATTTTGCACCACATTAAACTAAAAGAAAATGTACAGGCGCATTTGATTTCTGCTGATCTGCGGATTACGTTTGTAAAGACCACAACACAAAGATGCAAATTATTTAACGCTTTCTCCCATCAACCTCTCCTCCTCCAAGCACACGTCCCTCTCCAACTGGACCCAAATCCACGTTGGATGTGACCTGTGACCTCCGGTACCGGGCTGATTCTGTGCCTGCCCGCTGCATTGCATTGTGACGGCGGGGGGAGATTAAGTGGCCAATCAAGGCATGAACAGTGGGGTAATGATTCCACTTGGTGAAATGGGTGTCAGGATTAGTGCTGCACTCTCTCACTTCATTGTGCAGGCTTTAATAGGGCAAAGACATTTCTCCGCTAACTAGAGTGCCGTGGGCACGATTGAAGAACAGCTTCCTACTCACCGGCTAATAATGAAGACAGAGGGAGCTTTCGCACCTGGGGCTCGGTTCATTTGGTCCGAACCATGGGAGGGAAAAAAGTGATACATAGCTGCATTTTTAGTCCTGGTCCTGATTGCTGTTCGCACTGCCTTATTACAAAATGTAGATGTGAATTCATACAAAAAAACACGTAACTTATAGACAGTTTTTGTTATCCCGCATTGTCAGAAATAACTGATTTGAAGCATTTTTAGTATTAATAGAATGCAAATGGACCGCATTCTATGAATAAGGACTGAACAGAGACAGGCTGGTACACATTTCGCTTTTCATGAGGCTGCATGCGGCGTCTACATGCCTCAAGGGCTCATTCCTGTGGGATTGCTGTAATAGGTTATACACACAACCTCATCCAGAGAAATTTTAAGGTTGCGTCCCAAACTGACTTGACGATGAGCAGATGGATTTATTAGTGGTTCCCCTTTCCAAGCCGCCCTTTGGTTCTATTGACAACTTGGATCCCTCAAAACCTTTGTTTACACCCAACCAAACAGCCCAAGTGTTTCAACGGGAGGATCCAAAGAAAAGCATACACAATTCTTTATGAAATGAGATACACGACTCCCACCAAGGGTTCCGTGTCCACCAAAGCAGAGTTTCCACGGATGGGAACACCGAAAAGGCCCAGCTGGGAGTACATGGGAGCAGCTTGGAGGCACGGCATTGTTCTGTCACTGATCTTGCGGTTTCTCAGGCTGACAAACGTAGGAAGAGAGGACGGACGCGCCAGGCACCGTTCTAATCGCTTCAGATTAACTTCATCTTCCCACAGGGGGGATATTCAATCGGCAGTAGATGAAGTCCACAGTTTAAAAAAAGAAAGTGATGGCAATGCATACAGAGTAAAACGCATTTCTATTTGTCGCGCCCGTCCTTCAACTAATAATTCTCAACTCGGCGACAAACGTGCAGCGTTAAAGAGACTAAATAGATGCTCGCCGATGCTCACTAACTACAAAGCTTTTTGTTAGTCTCAGCTGCTAGAAGAGCACCTTAACATAAATGACTGTGGTTAAACCGGCCCTATCACTCGGCTACAACTAAGTAGCGCCAGGCAAATATCTCTGCAGAATGCATTCTCATTTAATTTCCCTGGATGAATAAAGGTTAAATGAAGGAAGCAAAAATTAAAGCCCCCGCTGAAAGATAAATAGCTCTTTAATGTCAGGCACACTGCGGCCCGATGCCTCATTTCTCAAATGATTGTTGAACGTTGATTCCCATAGACATGAGTGTAGGAGGCCTCCGGGAAAGTAGAGGCCATATTACTGCAGGGAGAAAGCTCTGTGTGAGGACGTGCACTAGTATGCTCGTCTTGTCCCTCTTCTTTAGTATGTATGTGAAGCACAATGCACCACCATGCGGGACTCGATGAGTTTAAATATTTCATTGGGGGGGTTGAATTCTCGAGCTACCAGTCAAGTTTGAAGGACTCCCGGTGTTCCACTCTGTTGAGTTAATGCAATATCCTCATATTAGTGCCCTGTCTTCCCCCATTACTCTCATTGTCCCCCATCAATATACAGTGTTCAAGAGATGAATCTTCTCCTCTGCACGCCCACCTGTTCTTACAAGAAGGAACTGGCACTGTGTTCTTTACCCTGGGCGTTGCCTCCGATCCGATTTTGTTTTTGTTTAAACAAAGATTATTACATTTTCTCATTTTCAAACTAATGACTGTAACTTTGAGATACTTAGAATAACAATAGTGTTTATTAAACGTGAGCAGTTGGAATAAAGTTAGCGAGCTTGCTGACGGTAAAAGCAGACGGCACAATGGATTCTCAAAAAGTGAAGCCGAAGTGAAACCATCTTGCGTTCTATTTGTTGTCTGGTTGACAAAATGAGTCAGATTGTATGGTTGTCTGTGAAAACACGTTTCTAATCTTGATCCCTTGTGACCATACAGACATAAAGCAGTCATAGACATAGAGCAGTCAATGCTCTCTACACTTTCGCTCTCTACAGCCCAACGTCTTCTCAACGAAGCTCTTTCCTGCAACAGGTACAGCCGGAGTATCTGTGAGCGAACGGAGCAAAGTGGCACACATCATTTGGCACACCGCCACTAAATCTACTCTCAGGCTACAACTGGCAACCACCGGCCATCTGCAGCGGAGTCAACCACTGCCCGTGCAATCAGTGCTGGCCCGGCAAGGTTTGGCTTGCATGTGAACAGTGTGTGCGTCAGCTGGAGGGGTTTCACACTACGCAACAGCTCAGACGTATAACCCATCATTTCCACAAACACACGCCCGGTCACATGTTTATCCGCACACGTACGCATGCTCTCCTGAATAATGTTGCGCTTTTGTCCTTTACCAACGGAAATAAAATGCCTCTCGAGTCTGGCAGACGGCACGGCTGACTTTCAAGAAATTTCCACAAGCGGGTGCTTTGTGGAACTAAACGGGTGTGGAAAATCCTCTTAAAAATCCTTTTAGACACCGTGGCAACTGGGAGAAAAAAAAAAAGAAGTTTCTCTCAGGCAAATGTGCAGGTTTGTTGGGTTGATGTTTTGCTCTGGGGAAGGACACCCTCGCCAGTCTTTTTCGTCCTGAGAGAAGAATGTCGGTAGGACATGTACCCCGCAGGATGCACAATGGGGTGTCGACCGAGGATTCATGGAAGGCTTTAGGGAAAGGACGCTTTGGATGTGCACTGTGCGGATGGGCTTAATTCTTTTCCATTCAGGACTTCAAGAATGTGGCGCACGTTCTTTTCGCTTGTCTTGGAGGAGACATTAACAGTTCCCATTCGGTGACCTGGTTGGCTTGGATGGAGCTTGGATATTTTTTCAGTGCAAACAATAGTAAACTACTTTAATCGGTGTGACTATCTTCTCAAGGCAGTTTTACAATTGAGTGATTTCTTTTCTGCTAAAATGACGTTTGAAATGGCTGTCAACAAGTGAGCCACCATATCCAGCCACGATGTCTTCAGGCTCTCCAATTTCCTCAAGTTTCTCAAAAACTAGTTTCCTGGCTCTGATTGCTATTTACATATTTGGGTAAATGAGCATGGGATTGGGCTCGGTGGTTTGTTTGTCGATTTGCTCTTTGCTTTTCCTATCTCCTTTGGGCAACAGATTGAATTAATGTTTGTAGACACTCTGATGCCACACATGAGGAAACAGGAGATCGTGCAAAATTGCAAAACTCGCGCAATTACATCCCTACAAACACATACGAGGGGGGGGGACTCATTTGGGTGACAATAGCATATTTCTATTGTGTCAGAGGCACAAGGACAATAATGGCCTATATTTACATGCTTTATATTTAAATAAAGATTTTTTTCAGGCTTTGCAGAACACACACACACACACACATATTTGTGATCTCTATTTTCCACTGCACTATATTTTGACACAACGGAAAATGCCAGCATGCGTTATCAGTGCTGCTACTACCTCTGCTCTCTTTTTTTGCTCCTATCGCTTTCCTCCTAATTACTTGTTGGAGAGTGTTTGGCTATTTGCTGCACGCCCGCTGTTTTGGTCATTACAGGCCCCTGTAGGAGGCGCCGGCGCTGCCAAAGCTTGGCAGAAGACAGGCGGTGGGGACGTGTCTGTACTCACCTGGGGTAAATGAGGACAGCTCTTCCTGCTGGCTTTGAGGCCCGTCTTCCCCTCAGGGGCCGTCCTGATGTTGAAGAGGGCCTGAAGAGCACACTGGGCCGCCTGGTTCTTGGCCAGCTTCTTGCTGCGCCCGCAGCCCTCAAATATCCGCCCGTCCACGCGCACCGCCATCACGAAGCTGCGCAGCCGCCGGCCCTCGGCTTGTTCCGACAGGCAGGCGTAGCGCAGGCCCGGCCGGAGCTCGTTGAGCAAAGCCACGGCACTCTTGGGGGCCTCCGGCTCCGGAACAATCCCACCGAGCCTCTGTTGAGCCTGCACCATCAGGTCCAACGTGTGGCGGAGCAACCGCCCGTGTCTCAGTAGCTCACTCGACAGCAGCTCGCTCTCTGCTGCTGAGTCGCAGAGCGAGAGGCCATCGGAGCAGGGCGAAGACTCAAACTCCTTGAAGAGCGTGCCGGGGAAGTCCGCCTGATCGGAGGTGAAGTCGGCCGAAGGGTTTGAGATGTTGCCCATGGCCAGATGGGCCTGAGGAGCGTTGGGGAACTGCACGAAGGACTTGAGGGCCAGCTCGGCGGCCTTCATCTTGGCTTTCTTCTTCGTGGGGCCCGTGCCCTCGAAGGTCAGCCCGTTGACCTCCACGGCGATGGAGAAGACGGGTGCGTGGACGGGGCCAGTCTGAGACACCACGCGGTACTGCAGCCCCGGCCGGAGCTCGTTGAGCTGCACCAGGGCGTTCTTAGGCGCTTCTGACCAGGAGACTTTCTTATAGATCAGCCGGAGTTCACACAAGTGTCCGTTGTTGTCCTCCTCCAGGGGCCGCTTCCTCTTCAGACCGGCGCCGCCAATTCTTGCGGAGTCGGAGCTGAAAAGCGCCTGGCACGCCGGTGATCCAACGGGGCGATCCTCCAAGTTACCGACGTGTCGGTTTTCCTTTACTTCTGCACTGCTGGTGCCTGAAATAACAAAAAAACAGAGGGTAAAAATCAGCTCTTAGTGCGTGACACTGACGTGTGTCATGGCTAAACATACATAAATCAAGGGAATATATGCCGGGCAAAACTGAGCTACTATACACACAATGAACAAATTGACGAACATCTCCCTAACCGAGCCCACATCGTACCCCGGGGCTCCCTCCTATTTAAGTGTTTTAAAATCCAAACGCAAATCCCCTAAAAATGGCGATGTTATCTGCCAAATCGTTCTGTAATCTGCCTCCAAATTGGTTCTGAATCTATGTCGTATGTGGGAAACATTGGCCCCTGTGGCCAATGCAGAGCATCAATCCTATTTGTAATGGGGGTGGGGATCACATCGAGTGGCAGACATTCCATGAAAGGATAAAATGTCTGTAGCCTGCTTTATTTCACACTTCTGTCCTCCGTCAGAGCAAAGCCTGAACAGCTGTGATACGCTCTTCAAACCTAGTTAGAAGTGGTGGCGTACTGCATTTCTGATGGGAAATGAACCCAAAAGGGGGCCTTAGATCTTGCTACGAGAATGTTGATGGTGGGATGGGAGGCCGGGATCAAGTGCTGATATTCAGGTTAGGGCTGAGGCAGATTTGCAGGCCTGCATTGACTAATGACGTATTCATCACACACACATCTAATATTTAATCGCTAAAGATAATACAGCTTTGAACACACACGTTGACATCCGTGCGCAATCAAAACGGCGTCCCTCAAATAATTCATTATGTGGGTGACAGACGGATCATTTCCATATTAGGCCCGACACCCAGGGAATTAGCGCGGCGTGCTGACGGAGGGGAAGAAGAAAGCGGCGGCAGCTTACTTAAACTGTCCTCATCCTCTGTGCTGCTGGTCCCAGGGCTTATGTACTTGAAGGGGGCGATCAATGCTGACAGCATACTGACTTTCTCTGGAGGAGAGACAACAGACAAGCAGAGTCAACAAGAGGGCAGCGGCAAAGAGATGTTCTGATAGTTTTATTGATCGAAGGCGCCGGGCCGATGGGCGGGGCGGCAGAGCGAGGCCGCTTTTCTCCATCGCCCCGCGCACGGCCCGAGACACACACGTGGAAGACTTAAAAGGGCCTTGCGAGGAAAACAACAACGCACACGAAGCACACAGTACACACATATAGCCTCATGCAGGAATATGGTTATCCTAAAAGTTCAAGACAAGTAAATAACTTGATTAAACGTATGTGCATGACCAGAATTTGGGCACTTTAAGGCATTTCAAACCTTCCACAGACACACAAAGAGCATTTATGTTGTGTGATAAAGTTCCTTCCTTTTCTCCCGTTCCCCCGCCCGGCTGCTGCTGCTGTCCAGGTGTGCGTGTTGTTTACAGTATGAAGCCCTATTAGGGCCTCCGCTTGGTCTGGTGCGCTCCATGCAGCGCTGAGTAGAATTGACAGACCAGTCTGGCTCCTTAATTACACCCCCCTCTCCCCCTCCATCCCCCACACCACACTTGCTTTTCCGCCAGCTAATGATCAATAAGAGCGAGGTGCCCGGAGAGGCAATGAGAGAAAGCGAGAGAGAAGCTGAAGGAGGACAGAAGTAAGGGGGAGGTGATAAAGTAGGTGAAACGAAGCGAGAGGGAGAAGATGAGCTGGAGTGACTTTGTGTCGGTGTGTGGGGGGTCAGAGGGTGAGCCTGAGGTCAAGACGCCTCCTGAGCTCCTGGAGCAGTGCGGCATACTAAATGCAGCACTAAACATGTGTTGATAAGAGCACGATGTTGTGAATGAGCAGGGCCGCCTTTGCCCCCCCCCCCCCCGCAGCTCAGAGGCACTAGAGGGGCTTGCCGAGTCTCTCTGACACACATGGATTCACTCTAAGCACTGAGGCTGGAGCCGGTCCTCTTGGGCCGCCATCACAATACAGCCATTTGCATTCTGACCTAATTACGGACTAAAGCTCAACACAAGCAGCAATCTGCCGCCAAATGACTCCCTCGGCCAACAAGGTCATTACCCGGGCCGTTTTCAAATCAGCATATATTGTTGCTGAAACCCTAAAGGCCCTTTTTACGATACGAAACAGGACCGTCTGGTGTGTTCCGGAGGGCAGCAAAATTAGAGGTGTTTGCTTGTACAGCATATCTTAACTGTTTTTTTTTTTGTATTTTTCACACAAAATGTATCCAGTTCCTCTGTAGCGTGAAAGACAAATGTGCACATCAGGCATGAAATTGCAGACAATTAACAAACAGGAGTTTCCCCACTGCGCCCTGAGATGAATGGTGTATGTCTGAGGGGTCGACACCACCCACACAACAGCCTCTGCCAAGTCAAAGGGCCCACTGGGGCATAGACCGTCAGACGGTGTGACCAGATGCACGCAGTGTGTACAATATATGAGCCTGAGCAAATCCATTCAGCAAAGAGAATAAGCTGAGGGCGGCAACAGTCGAATGTGAAGGTTTGGAGCGCACAAGCAGAGGCGAGCAGTCGGATATTCTGTCGATCTTCTTCACTTCTGTTTGACGAGAATAAAGATCTGAGAGGGGATACAGGAACGGTGCTCATACCCGTGTTGTACCTTCACAAGCCGTCCTTTATCTTCCACACCCAATTCAATAAGGGGCCGGTTTGAACAACAGAAATGGGTTATCACTACTGATTAGAAGTATTCTGTTTATTTGATAGAAGTATACTTAACTGGCCCTGATGCTACCGAAGTCTCTCTTATCTATGGCCAATGTGAATAATTGTACCGGCAGGTAAAAGACTTCTGAGAGGTAGACAAAGACTAAGGCCCCATCTCCACCTGCAGTTAGCATGGGATGTGTGTCTGTACAAGGACAAACAAGAGAATGCGTGCGAAAGTGAATTGTGACCTCAATCAAAATAATAATCCGTAAAGCATTAAAATCAGGGTTCATCAGGTGTAAATGTGTTTGTACAGTGTGTCTATTCTTTACACTCTACATTCTTTGCAGCCTACAAACTATACATTTGTCAGTGACTGTTTACGGGAAATACGACTCCCGGAGCGACCATGGTGAGAAAATGCAGCGGTAGAATCAACAAATCTACTTTGGACTTCAACGGTTATTTGGATGGATTTTTAGATTGAGAATCTAAACTGTGACACCAGCAGGTTGGTCATCAAACAAAGTATTGACCTGATGATGGCGCCAGGTGAGGTAAAGGGATAACAGAGGTTATTACAATTTACAAATCTGTCTGGGAAACACGGATATCTGTGCTTAATCGCATGGCATTTAATTCAATAGCCCCCTAAAAGGTCATTGATAAAAAGAGGGACTAATTCTGTGCAATTACTCCAGTGTTAAGGCACATTACTGAGCTGCATAAAAGCCTCAATAGATCCTTTCATTCCGTATGCGCAGTATTTCTTATAAGTTCACAATCAAAGCAGAGCGTTTTTGTATAGAGCTCTTCAGGTCTGCATCATTTCAAAGAAACAATTCTTTTCACTTTCAATGGACCGCAGTTCATTTCAAATGTCTCAGGAAGTAGCTATTGAGTGGGAAATATCATGTTTTCAATAACTCTGATGCTGAATCAAGTGTGCCTTGGTAAGCAGTGCAGTTTAGAGGTCATCCTGCAAATGCCACCTCTGATCGCTTTTTGATAGCTTTATGAAGCGCCGGCACAAATGCACTTCACTCTGATTTATGGGCGAGCTGCGTGCAGCGTCAGAGGCACTTTGTGTTTGCAGTTTACAGTAGGTGTAGTGTGATTGATTTTCCTTAGAGAGATACAGCATATTTCCAGCCTTTTGTAAATTAAAATGCACTGCACACAGCTCACATGGAGGGAACTGGTTTGTTGCAACATTCCACACATTGCGCATGTGGAGGAGTAAAGGCATAAGTCGTCCTCCATAATGTCTGTGCACTGCTGGAAATCTAAGCTGGTTTCCAGGAAATAATGTTATTTCACATTACATAAACGTAAAACAGAGAGGTCACAGAAATTCAAGCAAATATTCTTCATATTGTTGAACTCAATGCTGTTTTTGCGTGTTTATTTGGCCTCGTTTGTTAAACAAATATCTCTTGAATTTATCTTCGGCTTCACCGACTCTCTGAACTCCTACATTAAATAACAAACAAAAAAAGTTGATGCATACCATCAGTTTAGTGAAGGAAAAACACAACGGTGGGTGGAGGTAAAGGGAGTTAACTGTAATAATAATAATAACGTATTCAGTGTTTAAAGAGTAACTGCTCACCTTAACATGTTTAAGCTTCAAACTAAAATTTAACTGTTATGGGATGATCGACTTAATGAAATAAAGGGATATTAACAACGCGCTGTAATACTTATGCTCCAAAGCCCAAAAGTTGAACCTGACAAAAAGTCCACACATAACTCTTTACGCCAACCGCACATGTGGGTTATTTCTTCAGGCTGCGGTACATGCGAGCGCTCATTTACATTTAGTCTGCAGTTTGGGTTGTTGCCCCCAAGTCCGTGAAAGACACTATTTTATAAATCTCAAAGAACTCAAACATAAAAGTGGGCATGGTGCATTGAGGGAGTAAAAAAGAGGCAGTGGGATGCATTAGCACAGATTGCTGGATATTTAGCACCTGATTAGCCGCAGTGAGGGCGGAGCAGCCGGGCCATCTGCTTTACATTTGCTTCACGTGGACATGGGTGCCAAGGACGGACAGTTTGGTGAATGCTGTCTGTCTTGTGCAGATGTCCACGTTTGTCGTATGAATGTATGTTGAGACACGCGGCACTGAGGTCGATGCCTTGGCGGCTCGTTGTGGTGCAGACACAGTTACAGCAGTGTGCCCGTTCTTTAAAGATGAATCTAATTAAGAAAAGCAGACAGGCAATGGAGGCCGGTTTAAGAAACCCAAACATTGTTTTCATGTTTTCATAGAAACATGTTTTTGTTTTATCTTGCAACACTTGGAAGTAATAAAGCAGCATGATCTGTAAATGACCTGAGAAAATAATACTCCCACAAACAGAAGGCTACAGTCTAATTTCATTATTGTCGAATATGCTTTACTGCTGTTGCTTCATTCCTTTTTGCTACTTTAAGTCAGGTATTTCTTCTACTTCACACATTCTTTTCCCTTTGCTTATATTGCTTTTTGCCACATTACACAAAGTAATATTACACCCGTGGCCTCTTGGCCTTCACCTTACTATACAATAAAAGACAGGATTTAGAGCCTGTTTGAACTCACGGGCAGCGCTGGCAGAAAGGGCTTCTCTAGGCAGCAGAATTCAACACGATATCCCACTGAGGGATGCGGGAGCAGCAGAACTCCAGTGGACATTAAAATGCTTAATCAACATTTGACGCCTCTCTCTCTCTTCGCTTGTTTTCTCCGGCATTCCATTTGACAGTGAGACACAGAATACACCGCCAGGCTCCGGAGATAGTCGAGCGTCACCGAGGAGCCTGCTCAGCGTCTGTGACGGCCGTGGGATGCACGGGTGCAGGTCGGGGGGGGGGGCTGAGAGCGCCACTTGTATCTCCTCAAAGCCCTCTCGCTTTCAGCGCAGGAGGGAGACTTGAGAACACTGTCACGATGAAAGCTTTTTAATGTCTTCGCTCGTGCCTGAATTGAGCAAAAGGATGCTTTTTTTTTTTTCATGGAACAAAATAAATACATTTTTAACTGCATTTTCATTCCCACCTCAAAAAGAATGCGTGCTGCCTTTGCCTGCGTTTCCCTGCGAAAGCTTTTAGCGCTAATATGGCGGCATTTGAACAATGGCACCCAAAAGTGGTGCGCTGTGCCTCTATGAAAAGACACACAAGCTCAGAATGAACTTGTTGAAATGTGAGTCCTGGAACAGCAACATAAATTAATTCCAAATGCTGTCGCCATCCACCGCCCAAATATATTTTCTCAATTAAAAGCAAACAGTTCCTTTTTTTTCTTTTTTTTCTTACCACAGTACCACAGA